TCAATGCACATCTGATATTGAGCGCTCATGTGCGCATACGAACGCGTGGAAGGAATTTCAAGAGTTACTTTCCAAGCTGAATAAAGGACGCACGATAAGAATTTCAAGAATATGGAGTTTTCCTAAAGGTTCTGCAGCTTCTCGAGGATAAATACAGACGTCTCCGTACCGATCCGCGAGACTCTACTAAACCTGCTCATGACTCGTGAGACCTATGTAACCTAGGCTCTGATACCAACTTGTCATGACCCTAGCCCCGAACCCGATCGTGATGGCGCCTCTCGTGAAGACAAGGCCAGCCGGACCAATACAATACACCTTTTAAAGCAATTAATGATCATAAAACAGATTAAAGTATAACTTAATAGTAATAAATTCGCGGAAACATAGATAACAGTAAGGGGAAACCATCCCGACACAGCCCAAACCGGGGTGTCACAAGTCACGACCGTCAAAGATAACAAATCTCTCAAATGTAACTACAGAGTCTCAATACTAGAATGGAAGGTAAAGATATAGATAGAGAGGAGCTTCAGGCTGCGAACGCCAGCAGCTACCTAAAGTCTCCTCGAAGATCCGCCTGAGCTGGGACAAGTCAACACTCGGGAGCGAGACCTGCTATACCTGAATCTTCACACACGGTGCAGGGAGTAATGTGAGTACTCCGACCCAGTGAGTAATAAATATAAATAATGGCTGGAAGCAAGAAAACACGCGAAAGCACAAAGTAATCTATACAGAAGCAGTAAAATCACTTTAAACAGTAAATCAATGAAGTAATCAAGTAAAATCCCTTTTTAACAAGTAAAACAGGTAATTTGACAGGTAAGTAACAAATAGAAATCCGCCCCTCGGGCACAGTATCAATCACTCAGAACAGTATCAGCCCCTCGGGCTCACTCTCAGTATAGTATCAGCCCCTCGGGCTCACTCTCAGATCAAATGGGTACTCGCGCTCACTGGGGTGCACAAACTCCGGAGGGGCCCCTTACGGCCCAAGCGCTATATCAGGCCACCTCGTGGCATCATCTCTCGGCACTCGGCCTCACATCACTCAAGCCACCTCGTGGCGTATAAATGTATCTCAGGCCCTCGGCCTCATATCACTCAGTGTATCCTCACATATGACCCTCGGCCGTACTCAGTCCGAAAGATCATCACAAGCCCCTCGGGCACTAGTAAACAGTAGTCCTCAGCCCAAAACAATATTTAGAAATATCATTTAAGTCTCAAAACTGAGTAAAATGGGCTGAGTTGTAAAACAATGAAAAGCAGCAGGACTGAGTTCAAGCAATAAATCAATACAGTGAGGCAACAGTGATAAAAATCCCCGAAGGGTTCAAATAGTTGGCATGAAGCCCAAATATGGCAATCAGCCCAAATCATGATGATAACAAATAAGTTTCAGTCAAATACGCGGTAAAATCATCAATCGGGACGGACCAAGTCACAATTCCCAGTAGTAAACGATCCCACGCTCGTCATCATGCGCGTGCCTCACATCAATATAGCACTACGATGTGCAAATCCGAGGTTTCAAACCCTCAGGACATCATTTAACAACATTACTCACCTCAAACCGGCTAAAACTCTAGCTCGCGACGCCTTTGCCCCTCGAATCGGCCTCCACGCGCGTCGAATCTAACCAAAACCAGAACAAATACGTCACACTATGCTAAGGGAACAAAGCCCAAGCGAAAGCAATCGAAAAATATCAAAAATCCCGAAATTAGCAAAACCCGAGCCCCGGGCCCACTTCTCGAAACTCAGAAATTTTTACATCAACGGGTTCCTTATCTCCTCACGAGTTCATACATACCAAAAGCTCTCAAATCCGACCTCAAATGGTCCTTCAAATCCCTAAATCAAATTTCAAAATCCCAAGCCCTAGTTTCTTCCATTTTAGCTTAAGTTCCATGAATTTCTAGGTTAATTTCACAACAGAATCACGTTTTAGGTTCAAAAATCTTACCTCCAATCAATTCTCCTTGAATCCCTCTTTAATCACCTTCAAAAAGTTCTCAAAATGCTCAGCTATGGGGGAAAAATGACTCAAAATCGCGGATGAAATATTTTATAAACTTTCTGCCCAGTTCTGGAATTCCTTCATCGCATTCGCGACCACTGCCTCGCGAACGCGAAGCACATCTTTTATTATCCCCAAAATTAACCCTACGCGAATGCGAGATTCACCCTGCGAACGCGATGCTTTAGACTCTTATACCTACGCGAACGCGCTCCCACATACGCGAACGCGAAGAACAACAGCTCCTGGACCCCTCACGCTCCAACTCCACTATGCGAATGCGACTGATCCTCACGCGAACGCGAAGCACCAGCCTCCAGCCTTCCGCGAACGCGAGTCATCAAACGCGAACGCGAAGGCCTAACTCAGACCACCCCAAAATCCTTCTATGCGAAGGCCAATATCTATGCAACACCTGAACAACAATTCTGCAACATTTCAACTTCAAAAATAGTCCGATTGACCATCCGAAACTCACCCGAGGCCCCCGGGACCTCAACCAAAAGTACCAACACATCCTAAAACCTCATTCAAACTTGTTCCAATCATCAAAACACCTCAAACAACACCAAATCCGTTAATTCACATCGAATTCAAGACTAAGTTTTCTAAAAACTTCCGAAATACGCTTTCGATCAAAAACCCAACCAAACCACGTCCGAATGACCTGAAATTTTGTACACACATCACAATTGACATAACGAAGCTACATCAACTCTCGGAATTCCATTCTGACCCTCGGATCAAAATCTCACCTACCAACCAGAAATCGCCAAAATACTAACTTCGCCAATTCAAGCCTAATTCTACACCGGACCTCCAAAACTAATTCCGATCACACTCCTAAGTCACAAATGATCTCACGAAACTAACCGAACCATTGGAACTCTCATCCGAGTCCTCTAACACATAAGTCAACATCCGGTTGACTTTTCCAACTTAAACCTTCTTAAATGAGACTAAAGTGTCTCATTTCTTACCAAATCCACTCCGAACGCAAACTAATCAACTTGATCACATAAAACACGGATAACGAAGCATAAAGAAGCAGAAATAGGGGAAACGAAGCGGTAACTCATGAGACGACTGGCCGGGTCGTGTCAAAAACTACTTTAAAACAAATGTTTAAGTCATTTTAAAGATACATTATTTATTTCTTATTCTTTCAAATAATGGAAGGAGAAAACGATATCTTAGCATTAATATATCATGAGTAGTAAAGCAAAAGAAAACTAGGATTAAAGAAAACATTTTCAGTACAAGAATCCGAAATTCAAAACCATAGTATAACGATTTTACTTGACCTTCCAATTTCTTATAGCTAACGAAAAAGAAGAAGAGTTTAAGCGTTTGGACATAAAAATTGTGACATTCCGAAAAATAAAGTAAAAAAAAAAATATAAGTGAAAATTATATTTGAAAATTAGAGTTGTGTTTGGACATAAATATAATTTGAAATTATTTTAAATTTTTCTGAGTGATTTGAAGTGAAAATTTTGAAAATCAGCTTTTTGAAATTTTTTAAATTTCGAAAAAATTTCGAAATCCAACTTCAAGTAAAATTTAAAGTTTTTATGGCTAAATACTGATTCCAAAAAAATAAATAATTTTTTTTGTTGAAAATAGTAATATTTGTTTATTGCCAAATGGGGCCTTACAATCATTATCCCGGTATGTACCGTTTTCCTACTTGAAAAATAGGAGGCATTCCTTTTCCCGAAGTTATTGAATAATTTTGTCGAGTCCTCCGACATAGAGGAGCAGCCACTAAGGATTCCTCAAACCACACTTCAAAAGCTATGATGTAAACTAAGTGTGTACATAGGTCGGATTGGTTTGAATTTTGCAATTACTAAACCAAATCAATTGTATCGGGTTATTAAATCTAAAGACCAAACCAAACCAATAAAACTCGAATTTTTTCAATCTCGATTTTTTTCGGGTTTTCGGGTGTTCGGGTTTTTTCGGGGTTCTTTCCGGTAAATCTTCATAGCACAAAACATATGACTTGTGCTCAAAATATTTCTTTAATCCTAGTAAAATACAATTATATAAGGTATTTTTCAAGAAAATAATATAAAATATAGATGTGTCATAGCATTATCCTAAAATATTCAACAATAAAGACAATAAAATTATGTAATATAAATATTGCTAATTAAAAGCCATAATAAAAATTAACATAATCTGAAAGTACTAAGTCATGCTAAAATAAGTAGACTAATAAGAAAGTAATAATTACATGACTAAATGCTAAATAAAAAAATAAAAAGAGGCTATGCATTTTTATTTAAATTATTACAAAATAAAAAATAGATATTCATACATTGTCGTTCGTAGTATTGAATTGAATGTCTTTTGTTAGCATTAATGGGCTTTTGTTAGCATTATTTAAATTACTAATATTAATGACTATAAAACTTATCGGATCATTCAAAAGTTCTAAGTCCAACCTTGAAATAATACCTTAAAAGATAAAGTTAAGTAAAAAGTTCAAAAAATATTTATAAATTACATCACAATAAGTATATTTATATATCAAATATATCTAAAATTTCTATATATGTAATGTCGGGTTGGTTTGATTTCAATTTGACTTTCTTTAGTTAAAACCAAACCAAATCAATTATGATCGAATTTTTTTCTCCAACACCAAACCAACTCAAACCAAACCATAGTCGAATTTTTTTCTCGATTTTACTCGAATTATCGGGTTGGTACGATTTATCGATTTCCTTTGTACACACCTAATGTAAACACCTAATGTAAACGGTCTACTATAATGCAATCACTAGCAATTGCTTCCACGGCTCGAATTTATAAGGTCACACGAAAATATATATTTTACCATTTCAAGTTCCTTCGACAAGATTCTCAATAGTTTCTTTTTATTTTATCAATTATTTTAACCAGTTGTAACATACACAAATTAACGACTAATTAATTAAGCTCGTATCTTGTGCGATGTAATTAGTGGAGAGAAGAGAAAGTTCCTTGCAATAATAAAAACTATACATATTTAAGAGGAAAGAAAAGAGAAAACCATATACTCTTCCATTTGTCCACTCAAAACATATTGAAAAATTACAATATTTTAAGTAGATTCAACTGATTTGGGAGATATATTATTGTGCTTATTAACAGGCATGGATTTTGATCTCTTGAACCATTCACTTGTTGTGTTACCAGAAGTTGGAGTACGGTGATACCTGCACCTGATATATATTAAGAAATTCAATATATCTCATATTAGAAATTTCACAAGGGAAAAGTAAAAAAAAAAAAAACGAAAAAAAAATAAAACTAGTAGACGATATTATCACTAGTCTCAAAATAATTACTACCCTCAACTTTACTATTTTAAGTAAATACTANAAGTTGGAGTACGGTGATACCTGCACCTGATATATATTAAGAAATTCAATATATCTCATATTAGAAATTTCACAAGGGAAAAGTAAAAAAAAAAAAAAAAAGAAAAAAAAAAATAACTTGAGACGATATTATCACTGTCTCAAAATAATTACTCCCTCAATTTCATTTTAGAAAATCATATTTGACTAAAAACAATTTTTTTTTTAAGACTTTTGATTTTTATAAAACCTAATTTTTTTTAAGACTTCTGAATTTAAACGTAATGGTTATAAGATTTTTCACTACTATAAAGTATATGAAATCGCTTTGGACAAATTATATAGCTAAATGAAAAATCTGTTGTTGCTAATCCTATTTAGTAACAGATTAGCGGCATATTATCAAGAAATTTTGTTAGGTTCGATGAAGTTTGACTATTCAATTTTTTTCGTGTTTAAAACTTATGATATTAAACATGTCCCAATACAATCAAACCTTTTTATAACAGTCTCGTTTGTTCCGATGTTTTTTGACGGATAGAGTAAAGTGCTGTTATAGAAAAGATATATTATAATATAATATAAAAATCGATTTTCGAAAAAAATTAACTTTTATAGTGAATGATTGTTATATACGAATATTGTTATAGAAATGTCTTACTAAATAACTATAGCCCATAAGTCACTAAAAGTAAGATGAGAAGTTTACAGAAAGAGTTTAAACGAACTAAAAAGAAAATAGCGTCAGATAAACAATACCTGAACGATCCTCTATGGGTCGTCGGCGAGCACAGGCACTGGCCTTTCGGCGAGTTCGCCGGCAATGAATCGCCGTTGGCGCAGTTATCAGAAGTGGAGACTGTGATACTCTTATGGGAAGCCATATTTTTCTCTGCGAGAAAAAAGGAGAAGAAGAAGAGAAGAAAATTAAAAGGTTCTCTGGTTGAAGAAAGACAGATGTCAAGAGTTCAGTATTTATAGGACAATAATTTGATATTTATCCTCAAACAACTGTGATTATGTAAGGTAGGAAAGTAATCAACATTATCAAGTAGTTTATTTATGTTTGAATTAAAACAACAATAACATACATAGCGTAATTTTACGAGTGAGATCTGGAAAGGGTAGTATATACATAAACTTTATTTTTATCTTAGTAAACATGGGCGAAGTTATTATATGTGGCCAAGGGTGGTCAACTTAAAAATTATGTTGTGTATATGATAAAATATTACTAACTTGTTATTGAGCAAAAAATAGACGTTGAATACCCTTGCACATCCCATTGACAAAGAGTGTTCAAATTATTGAATTTTCTGATTTCACTACGACTTGCGAAGGTAGAAAGGTTGTTTTTGATATACTCTCAGCTCAAGAAAAAGCATAACTATAGCAGTTTAGAAAAAGAAGTACGATAGTAAAGAAGCTATGGAAGCAAGATAATAAGAAAATCGAAGCAGAAGAACATTAGATAGTAATAAAAATCTAAAAATAAGGAAATATAATAATAATAATACTAACTACTAACTACTGATAAAAAAAGAAAACACGCTCAATTACCTATTAACCTTCTACCTTAATTTTCGACCTTCGTACCTTCTTATCAAGAGTTATATACATTAACTATGGTTTGACTTATATACTTTAATTGATTGTGGAAAAAAATATTGTATACAGTGAGTGTAAATTTATTTGTTTTAGGTTAACTATCCATTTTTTGGATTACAAATTTCACAAAACCATGAGTAGTTATCTATATTTATTCTTAGACAACTTGACTGTATAAAAGTTAGGCACTTCATTTAATTTTTGTATGTTTTTTCTTTTCCTTTTTCCATACGAGTACGATTTTTTTTTTTCTTTCTGCACTTTTTTGTCATCACTAGTTTTTAGACTAAAAATCAAAATAAGTGAAACATGCCGTCCCCACTTTCAGATACTTTGAATATAATACAAGGCATGGAATTAATCATTACAAACGTTTCATAGTTGTATTATTTTTTTTTTAGGTTTGGTTTTTGGCATGGTTTTAAGTTTACATAGGTTTGTATCTCCATCATTATTTGATTTGATTCTAAATAAAAGGTGTAACATAATTATTTCAATAGAAAAAAAATGGTCCTACAAGAACTTCAACCATTTATACATTATCGACATATTTTAATATTTCATGTAATAAACTAGTTTTTAATTTTAAAAAACCAGTCTCCAAAATTAGTAAATCAGATAAATGGACAGATGGCAGAGGGTTTTATCTAGAAAATTTATGGACTCCCTTTCCAATGATAAATATGACGATTGGGCCAAAGGCCCATAACTCATTCACTGTTGCCACGTCCTGCAACTCTGCTACTCCAAAAAAGTAAAGACAATTTAATGTCTTATCCAAATCAATCTACTAAGCTTATCCTCACAAAAGGTTCAAATATACAAAAGTAATATAAAATAAGTATATTATTTGTATATTATACGAAAATATATATTTTCCCCAATATTATTTTCTAAATTGATTATACAATATTATTTTCCCTTACTCTATTATACGAAGAAAGTTAGACCTATAAAGTCAACAAACTTAGATTTAGAATTAGCACACTTTTAGTATGCAGAGCACGACTATTATTATAAATTCATGAATAGAAAAGGTACTAATATACCCTATCTTATAACGCATAATTAGCTTGTTTCAGACGTACCTTTTTGCAAAACCTTATGGTACTCTCTTTTTAAGAAATGTAAATAATAGTTTAAAATAACTTTCTCATATAAACATAAGGGGTCATTTGGTACACGAGATAAAGTGGGATAAGGTGTGTGATAAAATTATACCGTGTGGGATAAATTTATTCCATCAACCAAACATGGTATAAATTTAATCTCAGTCTTAATACAGGATAACACACCTTATCCCACCGTATCCCATCAACTTGGGATTATATTGTCCCACCTCACAGTTGGAATAAATTAGTCCATGGATTATAATCCCAGGAATATAATTCCGGGATAACTTGGTCCGCGTACCAAACAACCCCTAAGATGTTGCTTGGACATACCTCCCTTTTATACTGATGCCCCAACCCTTATTTAAGCGATATTAGTGTATGGGTTGAAATCTATCTCTAGAATATTTTAAGTCGAAATGGCATTAGTAAAACATTCGTAGGCCGCCACATGTCGAAGTGATCTAATTAACAACTGTCACGACCCAAACCCAAACCGATCGTGATGGCGCCTCTAGTGAAGACAAGGCCAGCCAGATCAATACAGAACACTTCTTTTAAGCAGTTAATTACCATTAAGCAATTCTGAAGCATGATTTAACAACAATAAATTCGCAGAAGTACAGAATATAACAATAGAAAACCATCCACACAGCCCAAATCGAGGTGTCACAAGTCACGAGCATCTATGAATCCATAATACAGTCTGCTAAGTCATAAACTACTACATTTGTTTGAAAAGAACAGGAAAGATAGAGAAATAGAGACACGGGGCTGCAGGCGTCAACAGCTACCTCGTAATCTTCGAAGAAGCCCGCCTGAAACTGGAGGAAATCAACACTCCGGAGCGGAACCTGATACGCCTGAATCTACACATAGGGTGCAGGGAGTAAAGTGAGTACTCCAACTCAGTGAGTAATAAGTGTAAATAATGACTGAAAGTAAGAAATCACGCAAGACACAAAGCATTCTATGATAAAGCAGTATAAATCATTTAAAAGCAGTAAAACCAGTCAAANATCCTCTTTCAACAATTAAAACAGGTAAATGACAGATAATTAAGGTACGGTAAATGAATAAAAACTCGCCCCTCGGGCACAGTATCACCACATCCGCCCCTCGGGCAACAACTCAGAACAATAACAGCCTCTCGGGCAACATCTCAGAACAATAACAACCCCTCGCGCTCAATCTCACATCACACTGGGTACCCGCGCTCACTGGGGGTGTGCAGACTCCGGGACGGGCCCCTTACGGCCCAAGCGCAATAACAAGTCATCTCGTGGCATCACAACTAGGCCCTCGGCCTCATATCAATCAAGCCACCTCGTGGCGTACATATCTCAGGCCCTCGGCCTCAAATCAGTATTTGTGTCTCCTCACAACATAGGCCCTCGGCCTTACTTAGTCAAAAATACTCATAAGCCCCTTGGGCAATAGCAAAACAGTGTGTCTCAGCCCAAAACATCGTTTAAAATATCATTTAAGTCTCAAAATATGAATAAAACCGGCTGAGTAGTAAAACAGTGGAAAAATACATGACTGAGTTCAAGTAAATATTTCAAACAGTGAGGAAAATATCAAGAAATGCCCCGAGGGGTTCAAATAATTGGCACGAAGCCCAAATAAGACATTCGGCCCAAATCATAGTGATAACAAATATGTTTTCAGTCAAATACGCGGTGAAATCATCAACCGGGACGGACCAAGTCACAATCCCCAACAGTGTACGACCCCACGCTCGTCAACAGGCGTGTGTCTCACCTCAACATAGCACTAGCAAATTCGGGGTTTCAACCCCTCAGAACATCATTTACAAGCATTACTCACCTCGAACCGGCTAAATCCCTAGCTCGCGACGCCTTTGCCCTTCGAATTGGCCTCCACGTGCGTCGAATCTATCCAAAATCAGAACGAATACATCACAATATGCTAAGGGAACAAAGCCCAAGCGAAAA